CAAAACCTTCATCATAAAGGGGTGTTGGATCTTGTCAAATGCTTTTTCTGCATCTATTGAGATAACCATGTGGTTCTTATCCTTGCTCTTGTTCATGTGATGAATTATCTTAATTGATATGTGTATATTGAACTAGCTTTGTATCCCTGAAATAAATCCTGTTTGATCTTGGTGTATGATTTTTTGGATGAATTGTTGAAGTTGATTGGCCAAAATTTTGTTGAGAAGTTTTGCATCAATTCTAATGAAAGAAATGTGTCTATAGTTCTCTTTCTTTGATGAGTCCCTGCTTGGTTTTGGGATGAGTGTTATGATGGCCTCATAGAATGAGTTCGGTAGTGAACTTTCTCTTTCAATTTCATTGAAGAGTTGGAAGAGTACTGATGTGAGATCTGCTTAGAAAGCCTTTTAGAACTCTGCTGCAAATCCCTCTGGTCCTGGTCTTTTCTTAGATGGGAGGTCTCTTATTGCTGTTTCTATTTCAATGCTTGATATTGGCTTGTTACAATTGTTTAACTCCTCTTGCTTTAGTTTCGGCATGTCGAGATTTGCTAGGAAAAGGTCCATTTCTGCCAAGTTGTCTAACTTACTAGCATAAAGGTTGGAGAAGTATTCCCTTATAATGTTATGAATCTTGGTTGTTTCTGTGGTGGTGTTTTCATTTTCATCTCTGAGTTTATTTATTTGGGTGTGTTCCCTTCTTTTTCTGGTAAGATTTGCTAAGGGTCTGTCAATTTTGTTAATTTTTTTTGAAGAAAATGCTCTGTCTTGTTGATTCTTTCTATGGTATTTTTGGATTCTAATTCATTTAATTTTAATTATTTCTTTCCATCTACTAGATTTGTGTTTATCTTGCTGTTCTTTTCAAGGAGTTTCTAATGTCTCAGAGTACTGCCTTAACTGTGTCCCAGAGGAGCTGGTAATTTGTGTGTTCATTTTTGTTGAATATCATGAACATTTGAATTTCCATTCTAATCTCTTCCATAACCCATTCGTGATTCAGCAGTGTGTTGTTCAGCCTCCATGTGTTACAGGACTTTCTTTGGTGTTTTTTTGTGTTGACTTCTAATATTATTCCCTTGTGGTTTGAGAGAATCCTAGGTATAACTTCAATGTTTCTGAATTTTGACAAGTTTGCTTTGTGGCCTAAAATGTGGTCTATTTTGGAAAATGTTCCATGTGCTGCTGAGAAAAATGTGTATTCTAATGCTGCTGGGTGAAATATTCGGTAGATGCGTTTTAAAGATAGTTGATCTATGCAGTTGTTTAGATATGTACTTTTTCTGTTGAGTTTTTGCGTGTGTTAAAATCCCCAACAATTAATGTTTTTGGATCTATGTGAGATTTGAGAGAAAGTAGTGCTTCTTGGATAAATTTGGATGCTCCATTGTTTGGCGAATAGATATTTAAAACTGTAATATCCTCCTGAAGGAGAGATCCCTTAATTAGTATGTAGCAACCTTCTTTATCTCTTTTCACTGATTTTTCTTTGAAGTCTATTTTATCTAATATTATGATTTTAACTCCTGCCTGTTTATGGGGGCTATTTGCTTAATAGATTTTGTTCCAGCTTTTCACTTTCAGATTGAGTTTGCTTTTATGGGCAAGGTGTGACTCCTGAAGCCAGCAGAAAGAAGGATCTTGCTTTTTAATCCTACTAGACAGTCTATGTCGGTTAATTGGAGAGTTAAGTCCGTTAATTTTGAGTGGTAGGACTGAGAGGTATTTGGGAGTTCCTACCATGTTATCCATCTTCTTGGGGGTGGTGGCAACTGAGTTCTTCCTATGGTTCTTGGATTCTCAACTTGGGTGTGGTTTCTTGGCCTTTATTGTGGTTTTGTTGGTTTTCTATGTGTAGGACATCTTTAATTATCTTTTGTAGGGCTGGTTTGGTGGAGATAAATTGTTTCAGTTTTTCTTTGCTATGGAATTTTTTTACTTGACCTTTGGTTATGAATGAGAGTTTAGCTGGGTACAGTATTCTTGGTTGATAGTTATTTTTCTTTACAGCATGGCATACACCATTCCAGGCTCTTCTTGCTTTAATTGTGTGTGCTGAGAAATCTGAGGTGATGCTAATTGTTTTCCCTTTATAGGTGATTATTCTTTTCTCCTTGACAGATTTACGGATCTTTTCCTTGGTCTGAATTGATCCTGTGTGGATTATAATGTTATAATGTGATGTCCTGTTCTGGTCTGGTCTATTTGGGGTTCTATAACCTTTTACTATAGAGAGAAATTCCCTGGTGGATATGAAAGAAAAAAGTCCCTAAAAGTCACCAAATAAATGTTTGGGTGTCACTCTTACACCATAGATTTCCTGTTCCTCTACTCACTTCTAGTGAGAACGGCTTCAAAAGTTTCACCATATTCCCTGGACTTCCATTACCATGGGTCACATCTGTTTGAAATGCTCATGGAAGTTCAGTGTTGCTCATCAGTATCCTTAATTCACCAGTGTTTGTCACAGGAAAGCTCTGTTCCCCATGCACACAGTGTCACCTTACTTCTTGGTGACATGATTAGCATGCCCACAGAGGGGATGACATCACACAGTCCAAAGCCTTTATCTGGGGGCTCCGTGGCTAAACACTCATGCTGTGACTACTGCCTCTACTCCTCTCTCCTGACAGTCAATTCCTACTCGGTAAGCAGCTATTCTTCTCAGGCAAGTGACAGTAGTAAATGGAACATATCAAGAAAGTGCAGAAATAACTTCTCTGTAAAATGTGTGTGCTGTGTGCAGTTAGAATGAGGCACGGATCTTGTAGGTTCAGATAAAGGTTTGCTGAGAGTCACAGGCCTGTCTCTTGTATCAGTCAGCTGTCTTGGTGCAGCAACACATCCCTTCGTATCCTGGAGACCACAAAGCTTTGTGTGCTCAGGGATAGATCATTCTCTGCTGAAATGATCTAACACCCTTCCATATATATTTTTTATTTTTAAATTTTTTGCCAGTCCTGGGGCTTGAATTTAGGGGCTAGGCACTATTCCTGAGCTTCTTTTTCTGCCACGTTAGCCACAGTGTCACTTCTGCCTCTTTCTTAGTAGTGTATTGGAAATTAGAGTCTCAGGGACATTTTCCGTGCAGGCTGGCTTCTTAACAGCCTTTCTAAGCTCTCAGCCTCAATGTGGCAAAGATTACAGGCATCTGCCACCAGCACCTGGCTTCTTTGGATGTCTTAATTATTTGAAATTGCTAGAGTAAATTCAGATTATATTGTATGGCGATACACTTGTAAGATGTTTCTTTTGGGCTGGGAAGGTGGCTCAGTGGTAGAGCACTTGCTTTGCATGCGTGAGGCCCTGAGTTCGATTCCTCAGCACCACATAAGCAAAAAGAAAAAAGCTGGAAGTGTCGCTGTGGCTCATGTGGTAGAGTGCTAGCCTTGAGCTGAAGAGCTGAGGGACAGCGCCCAGGCCCAGAGTTCAGGCCCCATGACCGGACCCCCCCCCAAAAAAAAGATGTTTCTTTTATAAAATGAAGTTTGTGCACTAAATATGTTTCCATTTCAGTCTACCATATGTCTCTATTGCTATTTAATTCTGGTGTGAATGCATTAAGATATTGTGCTTTTCATAACCAAGTGTTGTTTTAAAAAATTATAACTGTTTTCAGCTAAGATAATCTCCTTTATTATAAGAAATAATGATGCTTGTCGGGCTCAGGACTGTAACCCTTGCTATTCAAGAGGCTGATTTGAGGATCCAGGGTCAAAGCCAGCCTAACAGAAAAGTCCATGAGCCTCTTATCTCCAATCCACTACCAAAAGCCAGAAGTGGAGCTGTGGCTCAAAGTGAAAGATCACTAGACCTGAGCAAAATGAGCTCAGGAACAGCAGCGATGCCCACTACTGCAAAAACAGAAAAAGAAACAAGTAATAATGTTTCTTATAAAAAATATGTTGGTTGAGGGCTGGGAAGGTGGCTCATTGGTAGAGTGCTCACATGCATGAGGCCCTGCATTTGCTTCCTCATCACCAAGTAAGTTGAAAAAGCCAGAAGTGGCGCTGTGGCTCAAGTGGTAGAGGGTTTGCCTTGAGCTCAAGAAGTGAGGGGCAGTGCCCAGGAAGGGAGTTCAAGCCCCATGACTGTCAAAGAAAAAGTCCCAATATCCTGCCAAATAATTGTGTGTATCACAAATCATGCTATTAATTAATAATATTTCATGGATTGTTTTTTTCCTGTTGGTTGTTGGGCTTAGCCTCAGGACCTTGGTGCTGTGCATGAGCCTGTTTGTGCTTAATGGTAGTGCTTTACCTCCTGAACCATATACTCACTTCTGGTGTATGAGTGGTTAATTGGAGATGAGAGCCTGATGGGAACTTATCAGCCTGAACTGGCTTCAAACTGCAATCCTCACGCAGCTGGCTTGGCTAACATGTTCATCCTTGTTTAGTTTTCATGCTATTTTTTGTTCACAATAAAATCCATGATTTTCTAGATATGGAAGAGATGGCCGAAGCTGACATTTTCATGGGGGTTGCCTTCCTCACTCAGAGTGCAGCAGGGGTCTTGGGGAACTCCTGTCTGCTTTGTTTTTACAGCAATACCCTCCTCACTGGACAGATGATGAAGCCCATTGACCCCATCTTAATCCACCTGATCTTTGCCAACCACTTGGTTGTTTTATCCACTGGGATCCCTCACACGATGGCATTATTTGGATGGAAGTTCTTTCTAGATGACGCTGGATGTAAAGTTGTTTTGTATTTATTCAGAGTAGCTAGAGGGGTTTCTCTTAATGCCACCTGCCTTCTGAATGGCTTCCAGGTCTCAAAGCTTTGCACTAGAAATGCTTGGTGGAAGAACACTACTAGATTCCCCAAGTGCTTTGGATTCTGTGGTTCCCTTTTCTGGATCTTGCAGCTCCTGATAAATGTTTATGTACCTCTAAGAGTGATTGGCCCAAGACACAAACAAAATGTCACTCTGCACATGCGTCATAGATACTGCTCCTCAGGACCACCACAACACTCTGCAAGGTTATTACATGTTGTCTTGTTGATTTCCATTGATGTCACATGCTTGGTTTTCATGATGTGGGCCAGTGGCTTCATGGTCTTTGTCCTCCACAGACACAAGCAGAGTGTCTGGCACATTCGCAGCCACATTCCCTCCCGAAGGCCTGTCCATGAGACCAGGGCCACATGCACCATCCTCACCCTTGTGAGCATGTTCGTCTCCTTCTACTGCCTCTCTGCCATTTTCACTCTTTGTGTTGGTCTAAATACAAAACCAGACCTGTGGCTGGTGGACACGTCTGTGTTCCTGGATGTGTGTTTCTCAGTCCTGAGCCCTTTTGTGCTCATCAGCAGAGACACTCGTATCACTCAGGTGTTTTATTTCTGCACTAAAAGAAAATTATCAAGCTGAGCAAGGATGTCTCACATGTGTGTGTAATCTAGTTACTTAGGAGAGTGAGAGCTGAGGATTGCAGTTCAAAGCCAGCCCAGCCAGGACAGTCCAGGAGACCCTTATCTCCAATGAACCACCAGAAAACTGCAAGTGGCACTGTGGCTCAAGTGATAGAGTGCTCGCCTTGAGCTGAAGAGCTCAGGTACAACATCCAGACCCAGAGTTCAAGACCCACGAACCATACAAAAAATTCATAAACTGGTTAATTCAATACATCAGCTTTTGTAGTCAGTTTGACTGTTGTTTCTTTGTAGCATTGGGATTTAGACTCTCTGCTGTATGCTTGCTAGCCTGTGGCTCTACTCCTAGAGACACACTCTAGTTCTTGTTCACTCTGGTTGTTGAGATATAGCCTTCTCTTTTACCCAGATCAGCCCACACTGTAATATTCCTATAATGTGTTTTTCAAGTATCTAGGACCAGAGATGCAAATCTAGATGCGGAGATATTTTTGTTGTTGTTGTTGAGTTAATGTCTTAGGAAATCTTTTTGACCAGGCCCATCTATCACTGCAACCATCTCAATCTCAGCCTCACACCAGGATGGCATGATAAGTGTACACCACCACACCCAACTAGTACTTGAGATAGGGTCTTACTGTTTACCTGGGTTGACCTTGAACCTGAATCCTCCTGATTCAACCTTACTGGCTGTGCATCTGCATACATATTGGATCAATCATTTGTTTATTATTGTTAACATTAGTAGTAGCAGTAGTATAATAATAATTTATGAGTCACTGGATTTGGATTCAGGGACTGAGTGCTATCCCTGAGCTCCTTTGCTCATGGCTAGCATGCTACTCTTTTGAGCCACAGCTCTACTTTGGTTTTCCCAGGGTTAATTGGAAATAAGAGTGTCCCAACTTTCCTGCTGAGCTGGCTTTGAACTTCGATTTCAGATGTCAGCCTCCTGAGTAGCTAGGTTTACAGGCATAAGCCACCAATGCCCAACATGATTTCAAAAACCAATTAAATGATAATATAACTTATTCTGTAAGTACCCATGTGAAACGGACAAAATGAGTGCCATGAGAATATATCAGCAGTGGCATACTTGCCTACATGGAACCCTGAGTTTGTTGCCCGAACCTGAAATAAAATAAAGTTATAGCAAATTTCAAAGTAGTTATTATGACCTAATGATCTTTCAATGTTAGTGTAGTAAGCAAATAAAGAATAAGAAAAGGTACAATAATTAACAGTAACAGAGGAACCAGAAAATACATATTCCCACCATCATTACCTAATGAGTTGTGATAAGCTAAAATGTACTATGCATTTGAAAAAAGTTCCACAAGTTTTGATTGCATTAAATTATTATGAACTGTTCATTTCATTGTGGTGATTCAAATGTAAGTAAACAACTTTGTGTGTATATATGTGAGTGTGCAAATATGTGTGAGCTTTTCTCTTTATGTTATTGTGAAAATACCATACAGAGGGGTTACAATTACATGGGCAAGGTAATGAGTACATTACTTATCAAGCATGGATGCCTCCTCCTTTCTTTCCCCTTACCATCCCTTCCCAGCTCCCCCTGCACCCCCACCGGCCACCTCCCATTCATTTTTCCACATAACATCTTGTACATCTAATTATTGCAATGGGTCCCCTTGTATCTCTACTTAAATGATTAATTTTATCCCTTCCCCTCCCCAAATTATACCAACATCAAATACAGTGAAAAACATGGGTTATACCGTGAGGGAGGGACATATGAAGCAACAAAGAAATAATCTTATAAATATGTTAGAAACAATAGCAAGAAAGAAAAACCATTTGAGTCCTTATCTTAGGGGTCATTTCGCCTTACATCAACTTATCTGACCGTTTCTGCTTGTCTCAGACATATACTAGTTATTGCAAATAAGGGAAACCATGGGACCTATGTTTCTTTGGGCCTGGCTTACTTCACTTAATATAATTGTTTCCATGTCTTTCCATTTCCTAACAAATGGGGCAATATCATTCTTTCTGTTGGAGGCATAGAATTCCATTGTGTATATATACCACATTTTCTTGATCCATTCATCTACCGAGGGGCATCTGGGTTGGTTCCCTATCTTAGCTATGGTAAATAATGCTGCAATAAACATGGTCTAGCTTGTCATCATTTGGCTAAATGCCCAAAAGTGGGATTGCTGGATCATAGGGGAGCTCTATGTGGAGTCTTTTGAGGAATCTCCATACTACTTTCCAAAATGGTTGAACAAGTTTAAATTCCCACCAACAATGCAGTAGAGTTCTCTTCTGGCCACATTCGTTGCAACATCTGTTGTTTTTAGAGTTCCTGTTTCTAGCCATTCTAACTGGGGAGAGGTGGTATCTCAAGGTTGTTTTGATTTGCATTTCTTTTATGCCTAGGGAAGTTGAGCATTTCTTCATGTGTCTATTGGCCATCCTTCTTTCCTCTTCAGAGAAGTTTCTCTTTAAGTGTTTAGCCTACTTATTTATTGGGCAGTTGTTTCTTTGAAGATTTGTTGTTGAGGGATTTAATTTTTGAGTTCCAAGTATATTTTAGATATGAGACCCTTGTCTGTTGTATGGCTAGTGAAGATCTTTTCCCAATTCATGGGCTTTCTATTGATCTTACTAGCAGTGTCCTTTGCCATGCTTAAGCCCTGAAATTTCATGCAATCCCATTTGTCCAATCTTTCTTTGATTTGTTGTGTTTCTTGGTCTCTGTTATGAAATTTTCAGCCTGTGCCAAGAAGACGTAGGGTTTCTATTATTCCATCCAGTAATGTTTTCAGAATGTCTGCTTTGACTTCAAGGTTTTGATCCATTTGGAGTTGATTCTGGTGCAGGGTGATATAAAAGGATCCAGGTTTAGTTTTCTACAAGTGGTAAACCAATTTTACCAACACCATTTACTGAAGAGGTTATCTTTCTTCCATTCTATTTTTTAGGTCCTTTTTCAAAGATTACATAGCTATAGGTCTGTGGGCTCATTTCTGGATTTTCAATTCTATTCCATTGGTCCTGAGGTCTGTTCTTGTGCCAGTACCAAGCTGTTTTGATCACTATTGCTTTATGGTAAAGTTTGAAATTTGGTATTGATATTCCTCTAGCACTGTTCTTTCTGTTGAGGATCATTTTTGCTATTCGGGGTCTTTTATTGTTCTGTATGAATTTTTGGCTTGCCTCTTCTATTTCCTTGAAGAATAAGGTTGGAATATTGGTAGGTATTGCATTGAATTTGTAGATAGCCGTGGGACATATTGGCATGTTCTCAATGTCGATCCTTCCAATCCAGGAGCATGGAAGGTTTTTGCACTTTCTATGTTTTTGTGTTATTCACTTCCATTGATGTTATGTGCTTGGTTTTCATGATGTGAGCCAGTGGCTCCATGGTCCTTTTCCTGCACAGACACAAGCAGTTGGTCCAGCACACTAAAAGCTGCATTCTCTCCCAATGACCTGATCATGAAGCCCGGGCCACACAGACCATCCACTCCCTGTTGAGCATGGTCGTCACCATCTACTGCCTCTCTGCCGTTTTCACTCGTTGTGTTGGTCTAAGTACAAAACCAGGCCTGTGGCTGGTGGACACTTCTGTGTGCCTGGATGCATGTTTCTCATTATTGAGCCCCTTTGTGCTCATCAGCAGTGACACTCACAACAGTCAGTGTTTTATTGCTGCAATGAATAAAAGATTTTCATGATTTGCTTAAACCAATCCATCACATTCAATTTCCAGTTGGTTCATAGTTTTGGTTTTGCAGCAGTGGCAATTACACACTACACTCTGCACTGTAAAGGCATGGGCTCTACTACTAGAGACCTGCTCTCATCCTTTTCACTCTGGTTATTTATTTACTTTTTGTTGGTCCTTGGGCCTGAACTGTGGGTCTGGGTGCTGTCCCTCAGCTCTTCAGTTCAAGACTAGTGCTCTACCACTTGAGCCACAGCACCACTTCCCCCTTTTTCTATTAATGTGGTGCTTAATAATGCTACCCAGGACCCCAGGTAAGCACTCTACCACTGACCCACCTTCCCAGCTCACTCTGGTTATTTTTTTGAACTCTAGCTTTGCTTTTTAGCCAGGTCAGCATGCACCTTTATACTCGTATTATGTGTTTCCTGAAGTACCTGGAATGAGAGATGTGAATGTAGATGCTGAGGATTTGTTGTTTAGATCGAATTTAGCAAATTGTTTTTATCCAGGCTCACCTATCACTGCAAACATCCAGATCTTAGCTTCACACATGGCTGGTATGTCTGGTGTACATCACCAAACCAAGCTAGTATTGGACGGGTGACCTTGTGAACTGTTTTGCTGGGCTAGCCTTGGATCTAAATCCTCCTGTCAACCTTGCATGTGTGAGCCACTGCATCCACCTTGGATCCATCTTTGAGTTAAATAAAATAATAATAATAATCGCTATTATTACTATTATTATTAGTTGTGGGGCTTGGGCACTGTCACAGAGCTCTTTTGCTCAAGGCTAACACTCTACCATTTTGAGCCACAGTGCCACTTCAGGCCTTTTCTGAGTACTTAATTGGAGAGAGGAATGTCATGGACTCTCCTGCCAGGCTGGCTTCCAACTGCAATCCTCACATCTCAGCCTCCTGAGTAGCTGGGATTACAGGTGTGAGCCACCAGCACCTGGCATATATATTATCTCTAAGATTTTTAAATGAGTATATAATAGAAGGTATTCTGTAAGAATCTCTATGAAACCAACTGAAGGCAGACATTGGGAGTATCTCAGCGGTGAAGTTCCTGCCTATGCAAGACCTCAAATTTGTTGTCAGAACTTCAAATAAAACAAAGTTATAGAAAATTTCAATGTAGTTAATGAGGCCTACTGATCTTTTATTGTTAGTTCACTAAACAAATATTGCATAATGTACACTTGCTTATTTGCAGTAACCGAGATACCAGAAGTTGAATGTTTTCACCCTATTATGCAGGAATTCCACTTCATTTTTCTTCATGACCTCATGAAT